TCATCAAAACAGAGAACGTCGAAGAAGACACACAAACCCGTAGCCATCTAATCCATTGCGCACTGAAACCAAGTTTCTCAAGCAATGCAAACAAAAATGGCCATTCCACCCTATCATATGCCTTCTCCATATCCACCTTGACAGCCATGAAACTCTGTTTTCCCACCCTCTTATTTTTCAGGTACTGCATCACCTCATGCCCTATAAGAACATTATCCACGATTTGCCTGCCTCTTACAAAACCATTCTGCCCTGGAGAGACAATTGATGGTAAGTACCGGGCAAGCCTCTCAGCTAAAATCTTGGCAATGATCTTATAGGTAAATTGACATAGACTAATGCGCCGAAGTTCCTTCATATTTTCCGCGTTATCTACCTTCGGTATAAGCACCAGCCAAGTATGATTACAAGTTTTAAGAAGGGAACCCGTATCGAAGAAATGTCGGACCGCCAGAACCACCTCAGGACCCACTATCTCCCAGACCTTGCGATAGAAAACTCCTGTGAACCCATCCGATCCTGGTGCTTGCGTAGCTCCAATTTGAAAAATGCTGTTGCGAATCTCCTCCGGAGAGACCTCGGCAGTCAACCTAGCATTCATACGATCCGTCACTCTCCTCTCAATTTGCAGCGCTGCCACCTTCTCCAAAACTGACTGCGAGTCCAAACCTCCCGACGTGAACAGATGGGTATAAAAATCATTAGCAATTTGAGCTTTACCCTCCTCCGACGTCACCGAAGTTCCCGCGGGGTCTTTGAGACTATGTATGAAATTATGGCGTCGACGAGCCCTAGTAACATTATGGAAATAGGAGGAATTCTGATCACCCTCCTTTAACCAACACACCCTGGACTTTTGTCTCCAATAAATCTCTTCATCCACCCAAGCCGCGCGCAGTTGGCTTTCAATCTCTCGAAGCTTCCCCCAGTCAATGTCGATAGCACCTCTAGTAACATTCCATTCACGTTGGAGGCTCTGAATTTTCCGTTTGGAGTTACTCTTACCAAGCTTACTCCATTCATATAACCGGTGTCGGAGGGTTTTAAGTTTGCACCAAAGACGAAACATCGGGGTTCCATCAAAGCTCATATCCCACACCTCCTGGACAATGTCCCGAACTTCTGAATTCTCACACCACCTAGCGTCAAAACGAAAGAGCTTCTTCCCCCGACATTGGAAAGATTCCGTGGCCAATAACAGAGCCCTATGGTCCGACTCTTGGTCCGAAAGATGGTGGAGATCCGAATCAGGCAATTGATCTAGCCAACCGGCCGAGACCAAGGCCCGGTCAAGGCGCGCCTGGATCACCCGTTGCGGATTAGTATTTCTGTGTGACCAAGTGAACTGGGAACCAACAAAGCCCAAATCACGCAGACCTAGATCATCCACAAATTCACGGAAGTTTAGAGATTGAGCAGGATGCAAAGGGTTACCACCCTCTGTTTCGTTAGATGCAAGCAGAGAATTAAAATCACCAACAATCGCAAATGGAACTCTTAAGCGCGAGCAAAAACTTTGAATGTGAGTGAACTGATTTGTGCGAGTCTGGTAATCGCAACTCAAATAAACGAACACCACCACATAATCCAAATTATCTTTATTCAATTGAAAAGCAATAAAAAGGAATCACTACAAAGGACTGAGACTGAGATCTCAGTAGACCAACCTAAGGCAAGGCCGCTGGCAGCGTGGGCAGCATCAACAAAAAAACATGCGAGAATTAGAAAAACCTAAGCGCCTAAACTGGCGAACTACGACATCGCGCTTTGACAAAGTTTCCGACAAGCAAACGACATCGGGAACAAACTGGAAATTCAAAGAAACAAGCTGTCGAATTATCGTGACTGGCCCAATGCCACGAAAATTCCAAAACATTAACTTCATTTATTTGCTGGGGTCCACTCGCGGCTGGCTTCCTCCACCATATTCTCATCACCATCTCCATTTCCATCCGGGTCTTGTTGAACTTGATCCGCCTCTTTCTCTTCCTCTCCCAATAAATCATCATTGTCAAGTCCGACATCCTGCATAATAGAAGGGTCAAAGCATAATTTCTTAGGAGGCAGAGGCTTATTCTCAGAAACAGTCATCATCTCGTCATTGCCTCTCTTTTTGTCAAAGAGCATCTCCTCCAATTTGCCTAGACTCATCTTGAAACAGGCTTCGGACACGTCTGTCCACATTTCCCAGAACGTCCCTGAGTCCCCTTTGAGGATCCACTAGAACGCGCAGCTACGGCAGCATTCGGAGGCTGAGTTTGCTGCTCACCAAGTTCGCGAATCGATATCCCAGCGTTTTGGGCTCTTGGAAGAGCCATCTCAGCGGTCCTCTTACCATCATCAATCATTTTACCCTTGCCTTTTTCCGCTGCAGTAAGCCGCTGGCCTGCTTGTCTAGAACCCAGCATCACAGCTTGAGAGTCAGACCTGCCTTGTTTCTGTCCACCAGACCCTTCTTGTACCTCCTCTCGACCTGCTGTCACAAACTCCTGCATACGGGCAGCAGCAGAAGAAGTCTTCTTATTAAGGATGGCCTCTATGCCCAACAAATCTGGCTCCATCAACCGATCAGCAGCAACCTGCGATACAGGAACAATTATGCAACATGAAAATCTATCCCACCAATGTTTCCATGGATAGCCACCATCCTCACATTCATAACTTATGTCTAAAAAAGAAGTTCGCATCCAACCTACATGATAATGCAAATAACATCCCAATACAATATGACACGATTTGTGGCTTCTTCTTAGCAGACATCTCCTAATCCACAAGATGGAATCACTACTAGGATAGCGTCCTAAACATGCCAAATTTATTGAGCAAGGGTCCTTGACAACCCCGCTCCATATTAAAGAACAAAGAGGGTCAAGCCATAAGAAATTATTAGCCTGTATTGGAGGCACCATCACCAAAATAAACAACCGTAGAGAGCACAAGAAAATTTGCCATACTCCAACAGGTAAACCAATTAGAGCAGTACTATTTAAGGCTCTAGTTCTCAATTGTGGACACATCTCCCATATTAATGTGTACGCAGCTCCTCTAATAATCACACTAACAGCATAGCCATAAGTCTCCAGAGATGAACATAAAACCCCATTCAAACCAAGATTAAAACCTTGAGTTATGCAAACCAAATAGAGGTCCAGAGCTACCTCTTGAGGGACGACACGCTCCACCTCCATTGGAGCTAAATCCAGCTGTTCAACCTCGTTCACCACTTCATCCAGCTGGTTCGGGTTGATCCAGACTGAGCGCATTGACAGCAAGGTAGCCTCATATAGGAAAAATCCCACAGGATCAGTCGACAACTCAGGGCCCCAGCTTCACAGTTCGGCATTGGGACGGGATGTCACACATCTGTATCCAAAAAGGAACCCAAGCCAGTTCTTGGTACAGCTCAGGAGTGACCGGAGCCCATTCACGAAGTATCAAAATGTGATCCTTGATAATCCATGGAGCCCACAACAGAACCCTTTCCCGATCACTCTCATCAACAAACAAGAATTGCAATAGACCCATGTCCGCCTCCAAGAACACCACATGGGAATTACAACACCATAAGTTATTCACAATCCTCTGAAGAAGCAGGATGGGCATATTCTCCATGAACAGTCGCCCAATCAAACTAAGCCTTGATCGAGCCATGCTTTCCTCAACATCTTCGTCCTCGAATTCCACAATCTGATCATTGTTCTTGGATGATCCCATGATTGTTGTTTTCTTCCTTAAACCAAAACAAAAACGAGAGAAAACAACGAAAACCAGCAGACCCAGTAACCCCCCCAGGAACAGAGCAGTCCCCATCGGGTAAAAGAGCGAGAACGATGAAAATATTGACAAGAACAAACCTAGCCAAAGAAATCCTCAAAATTGAGTCTGAGAATAAGGTAGATGTCTTCCTTTGAGTTCTCTCAATATAGAGTGTGGACATATGCCGCCTGCATGCGTGGTTTTTATAGGGGATAACCGCCTTTCCATCCCTACGAGACGTTCGAGAGGACTCGCAGGCCCAATCCAATCTTCCCAGAAGCAGATCACCAGCAACGGCCTGACGAGGAGTAGTACTTATCTCCAATCTCGAATTAGGGATTATATTGAGCAGGCAGATAAGTGCGAATCCTCCCAAAAACCGTTGCATGAGCCCGTATCCGGGTATTATTTTGAAGATCCGGCGGCGAAAACCCCTCCGCCACCCCTCGACAAGAGGAGACAGTGTAGGTACATCAGGCTTGATCTTGAGAGATTTTCGTCGATAGAGACGAAGGATGATTATCCCCAAAAGGGATTTGAGATTAACCCTACAACGAGGAAAACATAATAATCCTCCAAATGAGGTATAAATCGGCCCGAATGTGGGCATTCCTTTGTTACGAGATCGAGCCATCGTAGCATTTCGTAGGAGACTGGGCTTGCGTATCTTTACTAATTTATTATTGGGATTTTATTATTATTGTCTTATTTATTGTTTCCCTTGTTCTTATGGGATTTGGTTATTTGTTGGTAATATCCTTAGAGGTTTAGGAGTCATAATCTAGATAGGTAAAGGTTGAGGCTTTGTGCCTATAAATATGTACTTGTTTCGTTCGTTTAAAGATAAGAAGATTGGAACCCAATAGTTAGCTTTTGTCTTATTTTCTAATTCCTTAGTTATTTTCTTTTTGAGAGTTCTTTGCGTTTTATTCCTTTTACGAGAAAACCCTATAATCGCCATCCCCCTACGTCACATCACCGTAGTTGGTATCAGCGCCCGAGGTAGCCGTGATCAACGAGAAGAAGAGGGCCCCGTTGAGTTTGTGCTTCCCTGTCCAAGCGAGCAACCTAAGCTCGAGGAAGAATCCCCACCATCGCCATACTTGTACGCTCAAAACCAGGAGCAGCCGAGTTATCAGAGGGAATGGGGACGAGAAGAAGGGTATTATTTCTACTACCCGTCCAAAGTCGCCAATACGGAACATGCATAGACACCAACCGCTTCCGTGGCTCTAGTTAGCACTGGCACCGCCGTCCAAATCTCGCCGTCTGTTATCCTAGGGATTGAAGTCGCTGTTGGCCCGCCAAAGGAAAAAGAGCGTATCAATACTGTCGAACCCGCGAAGGTCGAAGGCGTGCTCGACCAACGCGGGCTTCAGAGCTGGCAAGTTGGGCTTGAGAAGTTGAAGAGAAAACTCAATTCTCTCTTGGAAGCTTGGCGATAGTGGCCGATGAGAGCTTCATCCAAACTACCAACGATCGTCGAAGCTTCATCATCATCTCCACGGGTAGCATCGCAAGCCTCCCCCGACGTCGAATCAGCTATGAAGGAGCTAGCTCTAGCTCCGACACCATCTCGTACATCATCACCGGTCGCCACCGACCCAACCGTACCATCTATCCCACCGCCGTCCAAAATGAATTCAGTACCATTGCAAGACCTAGCTAAGTCAGTAGAGGCTAAGGAAGAGGACGCCCTTGATTCCTATGATGAAGCGGTGGCCTCCGCCGCTGTGGTCCAAGAGAAACAGACTATTACCGCTCCTGTATCAACACATCATGTCGTAAGACAACGATATGAAGAGAAGCTTCAAACCCACGTTGTCGTGGAGCGACCGAAGGCCACACCCTCGTTCTCCGTTAGCGGAGTTGAGGGAAGGTTGGGAGGAACATGTCCCGACGTCAGTAAGCAATTCACCTTGCCCAATTTTGATCGGGTTAATTGGAAATATAGGAAAAGGTAGTTGGGAGATGGAGGTAACCTCTACGTCGCGAGAAGCGGAAACCTGGTATAAATGAATGGATGCAGGGAATATTTGATTCCACGCAGAGGAGGGAGGAAGAAGTGGGAGCTAGAGTTACTGGTGTAGTATTCATTCCAGTCCCTGATCCTAACTGGAAACGACACAAACGAGGTTGGCGGAGGTGCGCATCTACTTGCTTCACTGGTGTCAGTACGTGGGATTGTTTCTACTACATCGATCCCGGTTGGAGTGGGTGTGGTTTTCCCATGAACCTTGTGGACAAGGTTCTTTTAAGGGAGGAGGGATTTTACGAGATCGAGCCATCGTAGCATTTCGTAGGAGACTGAGCTTGCGTATCTTTAGTAATTTATTATTGGGCTTTTATTATTATTGTCTTATTTATTGTTTCCCTTGTTCTTATGGGATTTGGTTATTTATTGGTAATATCCTTAGAGGTTTAGGAGTCATAATCTAGATAGGTAAAGGTTGAGGTTTTGTGCTTATAAATATGTACTTGTTTCATTCGTTTAAAGATAAGAAGATTGGAACCCAATAGTTAGCTTTTGTCTTATTTGCTATTTCCTTAGTTATTTCATTTGAGAGTTCTTTGCGTTTTATTCCTTTAACGAGAAAACTCTAAAATCGCCATCCCCTACGTCACATCACCGTAACATCCTTTCTGATAATGATGATGCCATCCACCAATATTCACTGCTCCGATCGGAGATTGGGGAGGAAGCTTGGTCGACTCGCCGCCTTCTTCTCCCTCCGCGAGAGCATTAGGGGGCATTTTTTTTTGTATATGAGCGAAAAAGTAGAAGTGGGGTTAAGAAATCGTTGTCAATAGTTTGGGGTTTAAAATATGTTGTTGGCTACATATTATGCAAGAATAAACAAAAAGCAAGTAAAAATGACCGCTAGAGTGTTGAGCAAGAAGTAAAAATGACCGCTAGAGTGTTGACTGCCACCTAGGGTGGAAATCGGTACGGTACTGGTATCTCAATTACAAATATTGAAATTTTGAATACCGAAATATATCCGAAAGTCAATCTCAATCCCTAAATAATTTCGGTATCTCAATCCCAATCCCTAAATATTTCGGTATCCCAATCGGTACTTCGGTATCCCAAACAGTATTATCGAATACGAAATTAATTATATTTGAAATAAACAATTAAATATATAAACTAAATTTGATTGTTTAATTTAGATCAAAGAGAATAAGCAAAGAGTCTTGAGTTTTCCTAGAGCTAGGATATGGATAAGGAGAATGAAGGAGAGGTGACATCTCAAGTTCTTGTCGTTGGTAATTTTTAATTTGACAAATTGAAAGCTGAGGTCGACTAATACTAGTGTTTTCTTTTTTTTTGTTATGAAAATAACAAGTTATTAGGTGTGAGTTGAGAGTGACTTAAATTGGAAAGTCAAAATTGAGTTGGATGTGGACTTTTGAGTTGTGAAACAAAGATGAAATGATCTCTGTATAATTAAATGACACTCTTGGTGGTTGAGGGTTGTGTAGTAGTGAATGAGAGAGTCTAGTTGAGAGGATAAAATACTCACTAGCTTATATTTCGGTATTGATCGGTATTTTGGTATATACCGATCCCAATCTCGTAATCCCTAATACCGAAGTACAATTGAAATTCAATCCCAATCCCAATCCTGAGAAATAATACGTGTATTGGGTAATACCAAATATAGACAAATTCGGTACGGTATTCGGTATATCCCAAATACCGGCAACAAACTTTTAGCCCGAGTGCCAGCGATGTTAGTAAACGGTATACGATTTACGATTGAAACTCTTTCAACAACTCGAGTTATTTTGATCAACTGGTTCGTGACATGATATTAGAGCCTTCTGTAATCGAAAGGTCGTGTGTTCGAATCCAGATAACCTCATTTATTTATGTTAAACACATGGTGTCTGGATCTGTGCAAACTTCAAGCTTATATATGATTGCTTTCGTTTGAGTGGGTGTGTTAGTAAATGGGTTCTTGATAAGTGACAAGTACAGGGAGCTCACTCCACGATACCACAATGAGATGGAACAGTTGCAATAGGTAGTACCCTACCTGATCTACGATGGGCCGGGTATTACCCTACTCGCAGTAGCGTGGAGCGGGCATGTGTATCTACTTCCGAACCGCTCCGTTCTTGGCCTATTTTATCTCAATTTCTCATGGATTCTATACATAGTTATCCTATTTTGATTTTTCTTCAACTAGTTAGAGTCGATATTTCAACTTGTTAGACTCAATTACCCATTCTATTATCACTATTTTACATTCATAAAGTATTTTCTCCTTCGTTTTTTCATAAAAACTAAAATTCGCGTGTATTTTTTCAAAGAATATGTCAGAGTGGGTCGACCCATCCAGACTTATACCCGCCTCGACCTAAAGTAGCGTGGGGCGGGGCATTAGTATTGAGGTACCCGCCCTATCTCATTGCCATCACTAATGATTGTTATGGATATCAATGTTTCAATCACAATAGAATTGCCACTAAAAGAAATATAGTACAATACCCAGACATAAACAACCTTACGAAATTTTGAATGCTTTGTACTATAATTCAAGGCATACAAAACTGTCCAAAAAATGAATTCACTACTCTTTTCCTCGAAACAAAACGGGACAAAAGGATGAGAAATTTTACAATGCTATATAGTGTTGGTGCTATAGGGTTTTGCCTTTATGGTACAACTTAAAATTGTACATTTACGTTATGGTACAACTTCAGATTGTACCTATACTTTTTGTACAAATTCTTTTATGGTACAACTTGAACTTGTACCTTTATGTGATGCTACAACTTCAAGTTATAAAGTTGTACCATAACATAATGGTACAAATTGCTTTATGGTACAACCTAAACTTATACATTTAATGTTATTGTACAACTTTAAGTTGTACATTAAAGCACCAATACTATATAGCATAGTAGAAGTGCTCACAAAAGGATACGAAAGCGGGAATAGCCGATAAACGGAATAGTCACACCCGTCCAGTATATTACCATATATATATATATATATATATATATGTAATGAACACAATTGAGGAGCAGCCACTACTCCTTCCACCGCCATTCCCTGGTTTCCATCGGTGATACATCCTCCCTCACCTTAGCCTCTGTATCGATTTTTCCCACGACTAGAAGCAAGGCCGGACCCTCCCAAATCTCCGGCAATCAACGGAAGCAGCGGCTGGTGGAAGCAATGACAGATGAATCAATCGGGCGAGGCAATGATTTCAGGACATGCGAATTGAGGTGCTGACTTGGATGGTACGGGCATGGACGGAAGACTCTCTCAAATCATGATGAATGGCGGGCGCTAGATCCTCCGAGAAAAGGCTCAACATATGAGGAATCGTGTCAAGCTACGGATAAGGAAGCGCGATGATAGAAGAGCTCTGTAGTAGTGCCGGCCATGGTGATTAGCCTATGTCATCGCCCCTCGTTAGTAGGGATGTAAAATAACGTAAAGCGGAAGCACACAACACAACGATTTAACGTGGTTTCCCCGTTCGATATGAACGAGACTACTCCATGGAGAGCAAATGCTCTCGGCTGATCTATTATTACTGCCGCCTGCTAGCTTCTGCGGTCTTAGGTTTTTAGGAAAACAAAACAGCACTAATATACCCTTCACGTAGAGAGCTAGGGCAATTAGTACAAAATGACAAACAAGTCCCCCAAGAGTAAAATATGTACAACACGGTCCAACACTCCCCCTCAAGCTGGAGCATGAAGATCACGAATGCCAAGCTTGGATAAGAGGAAATGGAACTGATCAGCGCCCAAAGCCTTGGTGAATAAGTCGGCGAGCTGGGGGGAGGTGCTAATCTTCTAGGGAACAATCTCGTGAGAGACTACTCGCTCACGAACGAAGTAGCAATCCATCTCGACATGCTTCGTCCTCTCATGGAAAACTGGATTAGCAGCAATGTGAAGGGCTGCCTGGTTGTCACAGTGAAGTGGCGCCGGGCAAGACTGTGGTGCTCCAAGCTCTGCAAGCAAGAAACGTAACCACAAAACCTCACTTACAGTGCTGGCCATCGCGCGGTATTCCGCTTCAGCTGAGGAGCGAGATACCACCTTCTGTTTCTTTGTCCTCCAGGAGACTGGCGCACCACCCAGCACAACATAATAACCTGTCGTAGAACGCCGAGTCAGCTGACAACCACCCCAATCAGCATCACAATATGCTGTGAGGTCAGGCGAGCCTCCTGCCGGAAAGAACAAACCCTTACCGGGGGAAGTCTTCAAATAACGCAGGACGCGCATGGCTGCATTCATGTGCTCTGAGCTAGGACGACTGACGAACTGCGAGAGGATGTTGACGGCATAGGAAATGTCAGGCCTAGTGACCGTCAAGTACAGTAACCGGCCCACAAGTCGACGGTAAGCGGAGATGTCATCAATTACGTCATCCGTTGAGCGCGTGAGACCGTGATTCTGTTCCATGGGAAATCTGCTCGGACGCGATCCTGCAACACCGGCGTCTGTCAAAATGTCCAGAGTATACTTTCTCTGACTTAGAACTATGCCATCATCAGACCGTGCAACTTCTATCCCAAGAAAATACTTCAGGGCACCTAGGTCTTTGATGCTGAACTTCTCGTCCAGGAAAGCCTTGACCTTCGCAATGAAGTCTTGATCGGTTCCTGTCAAAATAACATCATCGACATATATTAATGCAGCAACAAATATGTTCTTACGCTTATATATGAGAAGCGAATGATCAGCTTTAGAAGGCTTGAAACCGAGCTCCGCTAATGCCGATGTGAACTTTTGGTACCAATTTCGCGAAGCCTGCCGCAAGCCGTACAAAGACTTGCGAAGTCGGCACACCCTCGTATCACCAGGTTCGCCAAAACCAGGAGGCATCTTCATATAAACTTCCTCCTCAAGATCGCCGTGTAAAAAGGCGTTATTAACGTCCAGTTGATGTAACGGCCATCCGCGAATAGCTGCAATAGCAATGAGCACGCGAACCGTAACAATTTTAGCAACTGGAGCAAAGGTATCATGGAAGTCGATACCTTCCAACTGG